GAAGTTGGACAAGGATGGATGTGGAGGTTGGATGAGGATGGATAAGGGTGGGTGTGGAGGTTGGACAAGGATGGACAGGGATGTCAGACAAGAATGGATGGGAAGTTCAGATGAGGATGGATGAGGAGGTTGGACAAGGATGGATAAGGATGGATGTGAAAGTTGGACAAGGATGGACAGGGAGGCTGGACAAGGGTGGATGGGAAGTTCGGATGAGGATGGAGGGGAAGGTTGGAGAAGGATGGGTGGGAAGTTTGAGGATGTATGGGAAGGTCGGATGAGGATGGATGGGGACGTTGGACAAGGATGGACAGGGAGGTCAGATGAGGATGGATGGGGATGTTGGACGAGGATGGACAGGGAGGTTGGACAAGGATGGATGGGAAGTTCGGATGAGGATGGATGGGGACGTCGGACAAGGATGGACAGGGAGGTTGGACAAGGATGGACAGGGACGTCAGACAAGGATGTACAGGGAGGTTGGAAAAGGATGGACAGGGAGGTTGGACAAGGATGTACAGGGGCGTTGGACAAGGATGGATGGGAAGTTTGAATGAGGATGGATGGGGACGTTGGACAAGCATGGGCAGGGAGGTTGGACAAGGATGGACAGGGACGTTGGACAAGGATGGATGGGGACGTCGGACAAGGATGGACAGGGATGTCGGACAAGGATGGACAGGGAGGTCGGACAAGGATGGACAGGGACGTTGGACAAGGATGGACAGGGAGGTTGGACAAGGATGGACAGGGAGGTCGGACAAGGATGGACAGGGACGTTGGACAAGGATGGACAGGGAGGTTGGACAAGGATGGACAGGGAGGTTGGACAAGGATGGACAGGGATGTCGGACAAGGATGGACAGGGAGGTTGGACAAGGATGGACAGGGAGGTTGGACAAGGATGGACAGGGACGTTGGACAAGGATGGATGGGGACGTCGGACAAGGATGGACAGGGACGTTGGACAAGAATGGATGGGGACGTCGGACAAGGATGGACAGGGAGGTTGGACAAGGATGGACAGGGAGGTTGGACAAGGATGGACAGGGAGGTTGGACAAGGATGGACAGGGAGGTTGGACAAGGATGGACAGGGATGTCGGACAAGGATGGACAGGGATGTCGGACAAGGATGGACAGGGAGGTTGGACAAGGATGGACAGGGAGGTTGGACAAGGATGGACAGGGAGGTTGGACAAGGATGGACAGGGATGTCAGACAAGGATGGACAGGGACGTCGGACAAGGATGGATGGTGGTCCAAGGAAGGGCCAGATCCCACAGGCACTGCAGGAAGTTCTTCCCCACGAGGGTGCTGAGACCCTGAAGGGGTTAAAGGGAGAAGCTGTGGCTGCCCCATCCCTGCAGTGCTCGAGGCCAGGCTGGACGCAGGGCCTTGGAGCACCCTGCTCCAGTGTCAGGGCTTGGAACTGGATCGGCTTCAAGCTCCCTTCAACCCAACCCCTTCCATGGCTCCCCGCTGCAGAGCAGAGCCGCGGTGCTCGGGGTGCACCGGAGCCTTCCCAAGTTTGCTGCCGATCCCTCGGGCTGTGGTTGCTGATGCCCGCGGGCGGATGTGGGGATGCTGGAGCTGCCCGCGCTGCGCCCAGCCCCGGGCCGAGCAGCCCCAAAGGAGCTTCCCAAGGTGGGGATGCCGCTGCCGGCGCTTCCCCTCCCGGCCTCCGTGGAGCTTCTTCCCTGCTCCAGCCTCCTGGAGCAGCATCTGCGGGGTGGCAGCGCCAGCGCTGAGGAGCCGGGAGAGGAATGCGAGGCTGGAGCGGATCCCGGCGGGATGCGGTGGCAGCAACAGAGCCGCTGCTGCCCAGGAATGTGCGGAGGGAGCCAGGCACGGCGGCTGCTCAGAGCCGGCCGGGGCCTCCTGCACCTCGTGGTGCCCGAGCAGGATGGATCCTGTGGGTGCTGGGTGCAGGAGGGACCCTGTGGGTGCCCGAGCAGGATGGATCCTGTGGGTGCTCGGTGCAGGAGGGAACCTGTGGGTGCCCGAGCAGGATGGATCCTGTGGGTGCCCGGGGCAGGAGGGATCCTGTGGGTGCCCGAGCAGGATGGATCCTGTGGGTGCTGGGTGCAGGAGGGACCCTGTGGGTGCCCAATGCAGGATGGACCCTGTGGGTGCTCAGGGCAGGATGGACCCTGTGGGTGCTCGGTGCAGGATGGATCCTGTGGGTGCCCGGGGCAGGAGGGATCCTGTGGGTGCCCGAGCAGGATGGACCCTGTGGGTGCTCAGGGCAGGATGGACCCTGTGGGTGCTCGGTGCAGGATGGACCCTGTGGGTGCCCAATGCAGGATGGACCCTGTGGGTGCTCAGTGCAGGAGGGACCCTGCGGGTGCCCAATGCAGGAGGGACCCTGTGGGTGCTCAGGGCAGGAGGGACCCTGTGGGTGCCCAATGCAGGACGGACCCTGTGGGTGCTCGGTGCAGGATGGATCCTGTGGGTGCCCAATGCAGGACGGACCCTGTGGGTGCTCGGTGCAGGATGGACCCTGCAGGTGCCCAATGCAGGACGGACCCTGCGGGTGCCCAGCACCATCCTGCGTGGCCGGGTTGGGTTTTGAGCCCCTGTCCCTGTGTGACCGGATGGGACCGCACGTGCAGGGCTCTGAGCCCTCAGCCCCACAGTTCCCCCCCCCCCCGGTGCCTCCCAGTCCCGTGGGGCCGCATCCAGCCCCACCTGCGCCCCTTGGCACAGCCACGGGCATGGGATGGGTTGGGATGAAGGGAGCTTAAAGGTCCCCAGCTCCAACCACGGGCAGGACCCCTGCCCCCGGAGCAGGGGGGGGGCTGCTCCATCCCTGGGTGACCGAACCAGGGTTGGTTATGGGGTGGGGGGGGGGGGGGGGGGGCTAAGGAAGGAATGTGCTGCCGTGGGTCTGAACCATGCGCCTTTAATTCTGCACCTCGCTCAGGCTCCAGCATCACCTCAAGGACACGGAACAGGAGCGCGCAGGGGCCGGGCCGCGCAGGGGCAGCAGCGCACCGGGAGCTGCTCTGGCACCCGCAGGGACCAAGGCAGGGCTTGGCTTTGCGAGGAGCGTCCCTGGGGCCGGGCTCCTGTCCCTTTGGTGCCCCAGGCATCGCAGAGCCACGGAGTCCTGCCATGGCCATGTCCGTGTCCATGGCCATGTCCATATCTATGGCCACATCCTTGTCCATATCCATGGCCATGTCCGTGTCCATGGCCATATCCATGTCCCTATCCATGGCCATGTCCATCTCTGTATCTGTGGCCACATCCATGTCCCTATCCATGGCCATGTCCATATCCGTATCCATATCCATGGCCATGTCCGTATCCATATCCATATCCATGGCCATGTCCATCTCTGTATCTGTGGCCACATCCATGGCCATATCCATGGCCATGTCCGTATCCATATCCATATCCATGGCCATGTCCATCTCTGTATCTGTGGCCACATCCATGGCCATATCCATGGCCATGTCCATATCTGTATCCATATCCATGGCCATGTCCATCTCTGTATCTGTGGCCACATCCATGTCCCTATCCATGGCCATGTCCGTATCCATATCCATATCCATGGCTATGTCCATCTCTGTATCTGTGGCCACATCCATGTCCATATCCATGTCCATATCTGTATCCATATCCATGGCCATATCCGTGTCCATGGCCACATCCATGTTCCTATCCATGGCCATGTCCTTATCCGTATCCATATCCATGGCCATGTCCGTGTCCATGGCCACATCCATGTCCATATCCATGGCCATGTCCATATCCATATCCATATCCATGGCCATGTCCATCTCTGTATCTGTGGCCACATCCATGTCCATATCCATGGCCATGTCCATATCCGTATCCATATCCATGGCCATGTCCATATCTGTATCCATATCCATGGCCACGTCCATCTCTGTATCCATGGCCTTGGCCATGTCTGTGTCTACGGCCACATCCATGTCCATATCCATGGCCATGTCCATATCCATATCCATGGCCATGTCCATCTCTCTATCTGTGGCCACATCCATGTCCATATCCATGGCCACGTCCATCTCTGTATCCATATCCATGGCCACGTCCATCTCTGTATCCATGGCCTTGGCCATGTCTGTATCTATGGCCACATCCATGGCCATATCCATGGCCATGTCCATATCCATGGCCACATCCATGGCCATATCCATGGCCATGTCCATATCCATATCCATATCCATATCCATATCCATATCCATGGCCACGTCCATCTCTGTATCCATATCCATGGCCACGTCCATCTCTGTATCCATGGCCTTGGCCATGTCTGTATCTATGGCCACATCCATGTCCATATCCATGGCCATGTCCATATCTATGGCCACATCCATATCTATGGCCACATCCATATCTATGGCCACATCCATGGCCATGTCCATATCCATATCCATATCCATGGCCATGTCTGTATCTATGGCCACATCCATGGCCATATCCATGGCCATGTCCATATCTGTATCCATATCCATGGCCATGTCCATCTCTGTATCTGTGGCCACATCCATGTCCCTATCCATGGCTGTGTCCGTGTCCCTATCCATGGCTGTGTCCGTGTCCCTATCCATGGCTGTGTCCGTGTCCCTATCCATGGCTGTGTCCGTGTCCCTATCCATGGCTGTGTCCGTGTCCCTATCCATGGCTGTGTCCGTGTCCGTATCCATGGCTGTGTCCGTGTCCGTATCCATGGCTGTGTCCGTGTCCCTATCCATGGCTGTGTCCGTGTCCGTATCCATGGCTGTGTCCGTGTCCCTATCCATGGCTGTGTCCGTGTCCCTATCCATGGCTGTGTCCGTGTCCGTATCCATGGCCACGGCCATGGCCATGTTCTGTTGCGGTCACCCCTGGAGCCGGGAGGACGCCCGTGGGTCGGGGCAGGCTGGGCTGCGGCTCTGCCGGCAGCAGGGTGCAGGCAGCAGTGTCCGTGGCTGTGGGGCTGGGCTGCGCGGCTTTGCCATCCTTGCCCCTCGTGCTCCGTCGCCGGGATCTAGCTCCGGATCGCCGTCTTCCTGTCGCGGTCTTTGCTCTGCGGGCAACGGGGGGGAAGCACAAGTTAGAGCAGCGCTGGGGCAGCTTTTCCTCATCATCCCGTGGTGGTGGGGATGATGGTGATGGTGGTGATGGGGATGGGGATGGTGATGGTGATGATGGTGATGGTGATGGTGATGGTGATAATGGTGATGGTGATGGTGATGGTGATTGATGGTGATGGTGATGATGGTGATGATGGTGATGGTGATGATGATGGTGATGGTGATGATGGTGATGATCCACCAGCACCATCACTGATGTTAGCATCACACCACCATCGTTAATGTCAGCATCACAGCACCACCAGCACCATCACTGATATCAGCATCACAACACCACCAGCACCCTCACCCATGTCAGCATCACAGCACCATCACTGATGTCAGCATCACAGCACCATCGTTAATGTCAGCATCACAGCACCCCCAGCACCATCACTGATATCACCATCACAGCACCACCAGCACCATCACTGATATCAGCATCACAGCACCACCAGCACCCTCACTGATATCAGCATCACAGCACCATCACTGGTGTCAGCATCACAGCACCACCAGCACCCTCACTGATATCAGCATCACAACACCACCAGCACCCTCACTGATATCAGCATCACAGCACCATCACTGGTGTCAGCATCACAGCACCCCCAGCACCATCACTGATATCAGCATCACAGCACCATCACTGGTGTCAGCATCACAGCACCACCAGCACCATCGCTGATGTCAGCATCACAGCACCATCACTGGTGTCAGCATCACAGCACCCCCAGCACCCTCACTGATATCAGCATCACAGCACCCCCAGCACCATCACTGATATCAGCATCACAGCACCACAGCCTGATGTGCGCAGGCAGAACCTGGTGCTTCCCACCTGCCCTTTGTGCTCATCTGGGGTTTGCTGGGGTTGTGGGGCCAAGTGTTGCACTGACGGAGGGGGGAGTCCCATGGGATACCGAGTGCGGGCGCGGGGTGCCCGGAGGAGCCGTGGCTGCCCCATCCCTGGCAGGGCTTGGCACTGGAGCAGCGCTCAGCTCCCTCCCCACCCATCCCCATGACGTGTCCCCTCTCCTGGCCTGCCCGCTGCCAGCGTGGCCCTGGCACATCCCCGTGTGCTCCGGCCGCACGTGCGGCTCCGGCGCTGCCTCCTCCTTTGTTCCCGGGGTGGGAATGGGATGGGATTGAGGGGGGGGGGGGGGGGGAAGGGGAGCTCCGTGCAGAAATGGGAAAATCCAATTTCCCAGATGTTCGGGCCCCAGGAGCTCTGCGCTGTCTGGAGAGGAAATGGGGATTCGGAAAATCCCGCCTCATATTTTTCCCCTATCACCTTGCCTTTCCGCTGCCATTAAGTGCAGCAGCAACAGTAAATTAGAGCCCCGTGCAGCCGCCCCACTGCAGGGCGGGAGGGGCATGGCTGGGGCACCGAGCTCCCGGCTCCGTGCCTGGGGGTGCACAGGGAGCTCTCTGCTCCCCGGCATCACAGCCCCGGGGCAGCCGGGCCCCCGTTGTGGCTCTTTTGGCACAGGAGCTGCAGGTGGGCGCGAGGTCCGGGGGGTCGGTGCTGGTGACTGCGCCGCTGGTGCTGAGGGATGCGGTGCTGAGGGATGCGGTGAGGGATGCGGTGCTGAGGGATGCGGTGCTGAGGGATGCGGTGCTGAGGGATGCGGTGCTGAGGGATGTGGTGCTGAGGGATGCAGTGAGGGATGCGGTGCTGAGGGATGCGGTGCTGAGGGATGTGGTGCTGAGGGATGCAGTGAGGGATGCGGTGCTGAGGGATGCAGTGAGGGATGCAGTGCTGAGGGATGCAGTGCTGAGGGATGCAGTGAGGGATGTGGTGCTGAGGGATGTGGTGCTGAGGGATGCAGTGAGGGATGCAGTGCTGAGGGATGTGGTGCTGAGGGATGTGGTGCTGAGGGATGTGGTGCTGAGAGATGCGGTGCTGAGGGATGCAGTGCTGAGGGATGTGGTGCTGAGAGATGCGGTGCTGAGGGATGCAGTGCTGAGGGGTGCAGTGCTGAGGGATGTGGTGCTGAGGGATGCGGTGCTGAGGGATGCAGTGGGAGATGCAGTGAGGGATGCGGTGCTGAGGGATGCAGTGAGAGATGCAGTGAGGGATGTGGTGCTGAGGGATGCAGTGCTGAGGGATGCAGTGAGAGATGCAGTGAGGGATATGGTGCTGAGGGATGCAGTGCTGAGGGATGCGGTGCCTGCATCGCGGTGCTCGGTGCCGCAGGGGAGCTGCTGCCAGAGGTTTACAGGGTGCAGGCACTGCTGGTTCTGCCCAAAGCCCCCATCCTGCTCCTTCCTCCTCTCCCTAGGCCTTTGATCCTTCTCTTCCTCCTCCTGTCCTTCCTCCTCTCCTTCCTCCTCCTCTCCTCCTCCCAGCCGCTCTTATCCCTGATGCAGCTGCAATTCCCCACTCCGTGTGGAACCGCGAGGTTGATTCCTGCTCTCTGGCCTATCCCTGCCCCTTCCCGTGCTCCTCTCATTGCTCTGCTCCATCCCTGCTGCTACCGCCTCTGCTCCTCTTCCAGTGGAGCCGGTTTGGGAGATGCTCTGGGATGCCCCACACTCACCCCATGGGCCCCCGGCCATTGTGTGGGAGCGGGGGGGTGCACACAACCACCCTCCTCCTCCTCCTCCAGCCCCTTCCCTCCACATCCCCATTCCCCTCCGGGAGCGTGGATCCTGGCACAGGATGCTCAGCCCCTGCTATGGCTTGGGACGGGACGCGGCACCCGCTGGCCCCCCTGTTCCTACGGCAGGGATGCGGGGCCGGGGCAGCCCTTGGGCACGCAGAGGATGCTGCGAGGTTCCTCAGCTCTGGAATGGTCCCATCCTCGCTTGGATTCGGGCTTTGGGGGGTTTAAACAAACCCAAATCCATCCCGAGCAGCTCTCCCAGCCCCAAAGGAGGAGCTGGAGCAGCACAAACCCTTCACGGGCTCAAAAAGGGGCGTCCGGGCGCCCCGCTGACGGGAACGCCGCGAGCCTGCTCCCGAGGGATGCCGGGACCATCCCAGGCATCCCGGCAGCACAAGAGTCACGGTGCCACCAGCGCAGCGCCCATCTCCCTGCTGCTGCTGCTGCTCCTGCCCTGCTCCGGGCCCACGGCCCCATCAGCTTGGGTTGGAGCTGGGGGACACGGCCCCAGCCCCTCAGCACCAGCTCAGCCTTTGCCGTCGGCTGAGCACGGTGAAGCCGGATCGGTGCAGGGGGATGGGGTTGGGATCAGCCCCAAGATGGGGCAGTCCCTCGGACACAGCCCGGGGGGGTGAGGCTGAATCGTGCCCCAGGAACCTGGGCAAGCGCTGCTTCCCAATGGGAATCACGGGGCAGGAGGCTTGGAGGCCCCGTGCGCCCGGCCCCGGTGGGACTGGGGCAGGATCACGGCTCTTGAGGCCTCATGGGTTGGAACGGCAGCGTGGAGGCATGGAATGGGATGGGATGAAGGGAGCTTAAGGCTCCTCCAGTCCAACCCCTGCCATAGGCAGGGACCCCTTCCATAGAGCAGGGTGCTCAGAGCCCCTGCATCCAGGCTGGGATGGAGCATCCCAAACCTCTCCCTTCAACCCCTTCCATGGGGAAGAACTCCCCAAGCTCCCATCAACTCTTCCCTCTTCCTCCTCCTCCCATTCCTGCCTCCCTTGTCCCAAGGCTCCCTGCAGCCCCTTCAGGCACTGGAGCTGCTCTCAGCTCTCCCCTTCAGGACCCTTCCCTTCTCCAGGCTGCCCCCCGGCTCTCATCCTGCCCGAGGTGTGTGTGGGGCAGCAGGGGCAGCTCGGCCTCCTTCCCATGGACACCTCATTGGGAATGGGCTCCCCAGGCAGCTCCAGAGCCTGGCGCCGGGGCAGGGCAGGGACCTGATAGGGGTTGATGGGAACTGATGGAAAAGTGGTGATGGGATTGATGGGATTGATGGAAAAGTGGTGATGGGATTGATGGGGATTGATGGGAATTGATGGAAAAGTGGTGATGGGATTGATGGGAATTGATGGAAAAGTGGCGATGGGAAGTGATGGAATTGATGGAAAAGTGGTGATGGGAAGTGATGGAATTGATGGAAAAGTGGTGATGGGGATTGATGGGGATTGATGGGATTGATGGAAAAGTGGTGATGGGATTGATGGGGATTGATGGGAATTGATGGAAAAGTGGCGATGGGATTGATGGGGATTGATGGGAATTGATGGAAAAGTGGTGATGGGGATTGATGGGAATTGATGGAAAAGTGGTGATGGGATTGATGGGGATTGATGGGAATTGATGGAAAAGTGGTGATGGGATTGATGGGAATTGATGGAAAAGTGGTGATGGGAAGTGATGGGGATTGATGGAAAAGTGGCGATGGGAAGTGATGGAATTGATGGAAAAGTGGCAATGGGATTGATGGGGATTGATGGGGATTGATGGAAAAGTGGCGATGGGAAGTGATGGAATTGATGGAAAAGTGGCAATGGGATTGATGGGGATTGATGGGAATTGATGGAAAAGTGGCGATGGGAAGTGATGGAATTGATGGAAAAGTGGTGATGGGGATTGATGGGGATTGATGGGAATTGATGGAAAAGTGGTGATGGGATTGATGGGAATTGATGGAAAAATGGTGATGGGATTGATGGAAAAGTGGCGATAGAGATTGATGGGAATTGATGGAAAAGTGGTGATGGGATTGATGGGAACTGATGGAAAAGTGGTGATAGGGATTGATGGAAAAGTAGCGATGGGGATTGATGGGAATTGATGGAAAAGTGGCAATGGGATTGATGGGAGTTGGTGCAGAAAAGGCACTGGGAGTTGATTGCAATGGCTGACAAAGTGGGAATTGGTAGCAACTGATGGAAAAGTGGCGATGGGAATTCATTGGAATTGGAGCCCAAGAGGGGATGGATTCGATTGGAACTGGTGCAAAAGCAACAGGGGGAGTTCATCGGAATTGATGGAAAAGTGGGGGTGGGAACTGATGGGAATTGGTGCGGGAACAGCGATGGGGATTGATGGGGATCGATGGAAAAGTGGCCATGGAATTGATGGGAATTGGTGTGGGAGCAGCGATGGGGATTGATGGGGATCGATGGAAAAGTGGCCATGGAATTGGTGGGAATTGGTGCGGGGACAGCGATGGGGATTAATGGGGATCGATGGAAAAGTGGCCATGGAATTGATGGGAATTGGTGCGGGAACAGCAATGGGGATTAATGGGGATCGATGGAAAAGTGGCCATGGAATTGATGGGAATTGGTGCGGGAACAGCGATGGGGATTAATGGGGATCGATGGAAAAGTGGCCATGGAATTGATGGGAATTGTGGGAACAGCGATGGGGATTGATGGGGATCGATGGAAAAGTGGCCATGGAATTGATGGGAATTGGTGCGGGAACAGCGATGGGGATTGATGGGGATCGATGGAAAAGTGGCCATGGAATTGATGGGAATTGGTGCGGGAACAGCAATGGGGATTAATGGGGATCGATGGAAAAGTGGCCATGGAATTGGTGGGAATTGGTGCGGGAACAGCGATGGGGATTGATGGGGATCGATGGAAAAGTGGCCATGGAATTGATGGGAATTGGTGCGGGAACAGCAATGGGGATTGATGGGGATCGATGGAAAAGTGGCCATGGAATTGATGGGAATTGGTGCGGGAACAGCAATGGGGATTAATGGGGATCGATGGAAAAGTGGCCATGGAATTGATGGGAATTGGTGCGGGGACAGCGATGGGGATTAATGGGGATCAATGGATCCATCTCCCCCTCCATGGCAGCGGTCGCCCACCCCAGCATGGCCATGGGCCTGTTGGCTGGTGCTGGCTGGGCACTGAGGTGGTGCAGAGCACGGAATTGGGAGCACCGGGTGAACTGGGCCGGACACTGCAGCTCCTGTGGGTCCCAGTGGAGCCCTTGGCCAGCTCTGCCCCCAAGTCCCTCTCAGCCCTCTGGTGCCTGCCCTCTGCGAGCCGGAGCCGCAGCCTCTTCCCAAACCCCTGCTTTCCCTTTGCCTCTTCATTTCCAGCTCCTCAAATCCATCCCTTGCCCTCGGAGCGTCTCCCTTCCTCTCCTCCTTTGCCTTTTGCTGAGCGCAGGCGGGGTTTGGAGCAGGGCCTGGGGGTTTGGGTGGCAGATACGGACATGGTGAAGGAAGCGCCGTGTTTGCCATGCCTCTGTGGGGCTCACTGATGGGATCTGGGGTGCGTTCCCAATGGGAGTCATCCCACCTCGGCTCACACCGTACCGATGGCTGCAGAGGCATTGCCAGCATCCAGCGCTCCCTGTCCCCTCCTCACAGCACCCAATGACCACGGAGCCATCCCCATCACCCATCACTCCCTGTCCCCTCCTCACAGCACCCAATGACCACGGAGCCATCCCCATCACCCATCACTCCCTGTCCCCTCCTCACAGCACCCAATGACCACGGAGCCATCCCCATCACCCATCACTCACTGTCCCCTCCTCACAGCACCCAATGACCATGGAGCCATCACCCAGTGCTCCCTGTCCCCTCCTCACAGCACCCAATGACCACGGAGCCATCACCCAGTGCTCCCTGTCCCCTCCTCACAGCACCCAATGACCACGGAGCCATCACCCAGTGCTCCCTGTCCCCTCCTCACAGCACCCAATGACCGTGGAGCCATCACCCATCACTCACTGTCCCCTCCTCACAGCACCCAATGACCACGGAGCCATCCCCGTCTCCATCACTCACTGTCCCACCCTCAGCACCCAATGACCGCAGACCCATCTCCATCCCCATCTCCATCACTCCCTATCCCCTCACAGCACCCAATGACCGCAGACCCATCTCCATCACTCCCTATCCCCTCACAGCACCCAATGACCGCAGACCCATCTCCATCACTCCCTATCCCCTCACAGCACCCAATGACCGCAGACCCATCTCCATCACTCCCTATCCCCCCCTCAGCACCCAATGACCGCAGACCCATCTCCATCCCCATCTCCATCACTCCCTATCCCCTCCTCAGCACCCAATGACCGCAGACCCATCTCCATCCCCATCTCCATCACTCCCTATCCCCTCACAGCACCCAATGACCGCAGACCCATCTCCATCCCCATCTCCATCACTCCCTATCCCCTCACGGCACTCAATGACCACAGACCCATCTCCATCACTCCCTATCCCCTCACGGCACCCAATGACCGCAGACCCATCTCCATCACTCCCTATCCCCCCCTCAGCACCCAATGACCGCAGACCCATCTCCATCCCCATCTCCATCACTCCCTATCCCCTCAGCACCCAATGACCGCAGACCCATCTCCATCCCCACCGCCCGCCTCTCCCTGTGGTCCCTCCCCGTTTCTCACCAGCTTCCTCTGGTTGCTGAGGCAGAAAGTGCAGATCTGCTTGGGCTGGGAGGCATCGGGGTCCCTGCCCGCGGGGCTGCCGGCTCCGTGGTGGTAGAAGGCGGGCGAGGTGAGGCAGGGCTGGCCGTCGCCGCCCGCCTCGCCCAGCAGGAGCACGTTGCCGAGGTGCGAGATGTAACTGGAGGCCAGGCGGAGGGTCTCGATCTTGGAGAGCTTCCTGTCGGCCGGCTCGGTGGGGATGAGGGTGCGCAGCGCCGTGAAGGCCGTGTTCACGCTGTTGGTGCGGTCCCGCTCCCGAGCGTTCGCCGTGTGGCGCTGCCGGGGCTCCCGGTGCAGCCGCCCCGTTTTCTTGCCGTGCCGGCGCTTGGCAGCGGTCAGGCCGTAGCCGTCGGTGCCCAGGCGGTAGGGCTTCTCCTCCGAGCCCGAGCTCTCGCTGCCGTTCTCCTCGTCCTCCGACAGCATGATCTCCGGGTATAGGAAGCGGCCGGGAGCCGAGCGCAGCATCGCAAAGGACATGGTGCGGGACGGGGCAGCGCCGAGCCTCAGCTCCGGGCGCTCATGCTGCTGACCTGGGGATGATCGGGGATGGAGGTGCTGCTGGCCCGGGGATGGAGGTGCTGATGCCCCGGGGATGGAGGTGCTGATGCCCCGGGGATGGAGGTGCTGATGCCCCGGGGATGGAGGTGCTGATGCCCCGGGGATGGAGGTGCTGATGCCCCGGGGATGGAGGTACCGGTGCCCCGGGGATGGAGGTGCTGATGCCACGGGGATGGAGGTGCTGCTGTCCCGGGGATGGAGGTGCTGCTGCCCCGGGGATGGAGGTGCTGCTGCCACGGGGATGGAGGTACCGGTGCCCCGGGGATGGAGGTGCTGATGCCACGGGGATGGAGGTGCTGCTGCCCCGGGGATGGAGGTGCTGCTGCCCCGGGGATGGAGGTGCTGCTGCCACGGGGATGGAGGTACCGGTGCCCCGGGGATGGAGGTGCTGATGGCCTGGGGATGGAGGTGCTGATGGCCCGGGGATGGAGGTGCTGATGCCCCGGGGATGGAGGTGCCGGTGCCCCGGGGCTGGAGGTGCTGATGCCCCGGGGATTGAGGTGCTGCTGCCCCGGGGATCGGGATGCCGCTGCTCCGGGGATGGAGGTACCGGTGCCTCGGGGATGGAGGTGCCGCTGCCCCGGGGATGTTCAGGGATGGAGGTACCGGTGCCCCGGGGTTGGAGGTGCCGCTGTCCCGGGGATGCTCAGGGATGAAGGTACCGGTGCCCGGGGATGCTCAGGGATGGAGGTACCGGTGCCCGGGGATGCTCAGGGATGCCGCTGGCCCGGGGATGCTCGGGGATGAAGGTACCGGTGCCCGGGGATGGAGGTGCCGCTGCCCCGGGGATGCTCAGGGATGGAGGTACCGGTGCCCGGGGATGCTCGGGGATGAAGGTACCGGTGCCCGGGGATGGAGGTGCCGCTGCCCCGGGGATGCTCGGGGATGGAGGTACCGGTGCCAGGGGATGGGGATGCCGCTGTCCCGGGGATGCTCGGGGATGGAGGTACCGGTGCCTCGGGGTTGAAGGTACCGGTGCCCGGGGATGGAGGTGCCGCTGCCCCGGGGATGCTCGGGGATGGAGCTACCGATGTCCCGGGGATGGAGCTGCCGTTGCCGCCGCCGGGGTCCCCGCTCCCCGGCTCCTGCGGGCTCTCTGCGCGCAGAAGGGGTTAAGGGCCGCTCGCAGGCTCCTTCCTCTCCCCACACGTGTGCATCGTAAGACGCGGAGTGTGGCAGGAGCTGGGTTTTATAGCGCAGCAGCGGTCAGCCAGGCCCCTCCTCCGGCTGCTCCGGAGCTCTGGAAGCCGGAGCCCGCAGGCTCCCGCCTACCTGAGCTCACCCTCCAGCCCCGGAGGGGATTTAACCCTTCCGGGCTCAGCCAAGCTGGGGGGGGAACCGAGGGGCTGCAGCCTCGCGGTGAGGATGAGGAGGGCTGCAGCCACCGGCCATGGGCCTCGGCACGCAGCGGCGCGGGCAGCATCCGCATCCATCACCTGCACGGGCAGGGTGTGATGGGCCCTGGGGCACCCGGAGGACCCCACACAGTGTGGGGGGGGGGGGGGGGAAGGAAGGGTCCCCCAGCCCCACATTGCAGCCCGTGGCTGGGGCAGGGATGGGGACAGGGCTGCGGCAGCCCCGGGTTGGGGCTGTGGACTCAGGCTCCTGCTCAGGATTGGTGCCGGGCAAAGGGAGCCCCTGAGAGCCCCCTCCCCTCCCCGCAGCAAGACCAAATCCATCCTCGTGCTGCTGCTGCTGCCAATGGGGCAGAGAGGGAGCATTAACCCTTGAGGAGCTGCCCGCCTCCACCACAGCTCCTGCCTGGAGCGCGCCGGTTCCCCCCCCGAGAGCAGCACAAGGGTTTCTGCAGCTCCAGAGGAGTGCGAGGGTGCAGAGCCCGCTCCTGCCCCCGTGACTGCCCCACAACCCATCGCCGTAACCCATCCTAATGAACCACCCCATAACCCGTCCTAATGTCCCATCCCCATAACCCATCCTAGTGACCCAACCCCATAACCTGTCCTAGTGACCCATCGCCGTAACCCATCCTAATGACCAACCCCATAACCTGTCCTAGTGACCCATCCCCATAACCCATCCTAATGACCAACCCCATAACCCATCCTAACGTCCCATCCCCATAACCCATCCTAATGAACCACCCCATAACCCGTCCTAATGTCCCATCCCCATAACCCATCCTAACGTCCCATCCCCATAACCCGTCCTAATGTCCCATCCCCATAACCCATCCTAATGAGCCACCCCATAACCCATCCTAATGACCCAACCCCATAACCTGTCCTAGTGACCCATCGCCGTAACCCATCCTAATGAACCACCCCATAACCCATCCTAATGAACCACCCCATAACCCATCCTAATGAACCACCCCATAACCCATCCTAGTGACCCATCCCCATAACCCATCCTAGTGACCCATCCCCATAACCCATCCTAATGAACCACCCCATAACCCATCCTAGTGACCCATCCCCATAACCCATCCTAATGTCCCATCCCCAGAACCCATCCTAATGTCCCATCCCCATAACCCATCCTAATGACCCATCCCCATAACCCATCCTAATGACCAACCCCATAACCCATCCTAACGTCCCATCCCCATAACCCATCCTAATGACCAACCCCATAACCCATCCTAATGACCCACCCCATAACTCGTCCTAGTGACCCATCCCCATAACCCATCCTAATGTCCCATCCCCAGAACCCATCCTAATGACCAACCCCATAACCCATCCTAATGACCAACCCCATAACCTGTCCTAGTGACCCATCCCCATAACCCATCCTAATGTCCCATCCCCAGAACCCATCCTAATGTCCCATCCCCATAACCCATCCTAATGACCAACCCCATAACCCATCCTAACGTCCCATCCCCATAACCCATCCTAATGACCAACCCCATAACCCATCCTAATGACCAACCCCATAACCCGTCCTAGTGACCCATCCCCATAACCCATCCTAATGATCCACCCCAGTACCCATCCCCATAACCCATCCTAATGACCCATCCTAATGACTCACCCCATAACCCACCCCATAACCCACCCCATAACCCATCCTAATGTCCCATCCCCATAACCCGTCCTAATGATCCACCCCAGAACCCACCCCATAACCCATCCTAATGACTCACCCCATAACCCACCCCATAACCCATCCTAATGACGCACCCCATAACCCACCCCATAACCCACCCCATAACCCATCCTAATGACGCACCCCATAACCCATCCTAATGACCCACCCCATAACCCATCCTAATGACCCACCCCATAACCCACCCCATAACCCATCCTAATGACCCACCCCATAACCCATCCTAATGACGCACCCCATAGCGCATCCCCACGCCATGCCAAGCCCAGCCCCACTGCAGGGTTAACTTCCCCACCTGCCCCAGCCTGGAGGTGCTGCGTGGGGTGCTCAGGACCCTGGTCCAGGGCAGGCACCGAGCTTTGATCCCGATGAAGGCCACCGGCCTCCTCCTCAGGACCCCGGTGGGGCTGCGCCGGCCGCGTTCTCCCCTCCACGTGGACCGGATATTTTCAAGGGAAGGCTCCGGCTGCCAGGAATGTGGGGCCAGGAATGCCCAGGGCCCATCCAAGAACAACTTCCAGGCGGGGAGGCCGAGGGAGTGACGGCAGCGCCGCGCTCCCGGCCCCACGGGCACCTGGAGGGGATTGGGGCTGCCCTGGACCAACCCTGGCTGGGGAAAGCGGGGGGACAGGGCACGGACATGGGGGTCTCGCTGTGGGGAGTACCCCCAGGCGCGTGCATCCCGATGGGAGCTGTCAGAGCCGAGCCCACGGGCTCAGCTCCAGCAGGGCTATGGGGTTTGCTCCCTGCCCCAGCAGCCGGAGCTGGGCACTGGGGTCTCTGTGCTATGGGACGAGGGCATGGAGCCCGTCCTGCCCCGATCCCGATGGGGTGCTCGCATCCTGCGCTGACGGCGTGGGGGTGATGGATGGGTCCAGGCCCGGCCTTCCCGGGGCTCCTGCTGCTTCCCCTCCTGGTGTGCAGGGTGTTTATGGGGTCCAGATGGAGCCGGGGGGGGGGTGTGGGGCACAGGTCGCTTCACACCTCCGTCCCATGGGGTGCAACTGGGGATGGGGTCTCTGCTTCCCGAGGGCAGCGGGGCAGGACCCCATCATCAGGTCCCGTCTGCCCTCATGTAGCTGCTCAGAGCCATGGGGCTGTGGGACCCATGGCCATGTGTGGTACCAAAGCCATGGGGCTGTGGGACCCATGGCCATGTGTGGAACCCTAAGCCATGGAGCTGTGGGTCCCGTGGCCATGTGTGGGTCCCATGGCCATGTGTGGAACCCAAAGCCATGGAGCTGTGGGTCCCGTGGCCATGTGTGGTACCCAAAGCCATGGGGCTGTGGGACCCATTGCCATGTGTGGTACCCAAAGCCATGGGGCTGTGGGAGCCATTGCCATGTGTGGTGACCAAAGCCATGGGGCTGTGGGACCCGTGGCCATGTGTGGTACCAAAAGCCATGGAGCTGTGGGTCCCGTGGCCATGTGTGGGTCCCATGGCCATGTGTGGTACCCAAAGCCATGGGGCTGTGGGACCCGTGGCCATGTGTGGTACCAAAAGCCATGGAGCTGTGGGTCCCGTGGCCATGTGTGGGTCCCGTGGCCATGTGTGGGTCCCATGGCCATGTGCAGAGCCCCATCCTGGCGCTCCCATCTCCAGCCCTGTGTGGTACCAGGGCATCGGGGGGGGCTTGGGGCATCCTCGCTGCCCTGCAGATGGGCACCGAGGATGCAGAAGGGAGGACATCACCTTCCCCAAGTGCGTCTGACCCCCCCCGGCGCGCAGTGGGGTGCGTCCGCCTGCAGTGCTGCCCCCCAGCCCTCCCCTCACGCCCTTGCCCCTCTGCTTCCCCCGCAGGACATCCGCAACACGGTGGGCAACATCCCCATGGAGTGGTACCAGGACTTCCCCCACATCGGCTACGACCTGGAGGGCAGGAAGATCTACAAACCCCTCCGGAGCAAGGACGAGCTGGACCTGTTCCTGGAGAAGATGGAGAACCCCGACTACTGGTGAGCGCCTCGGGAACGGGGCCCATGTGGGGTGGAGAGCTCCGGGTGCCCCCCGGTGCGGGCTGGGTGGGAGCCCCGCTGGCTGCCGCGCAGGAGGACGGTGCAGGACGGGAGGACGGGCGCAGACCTGAGGCTGAGCGACGAGGAGGTGGCGTTGGTGCAGCGGCTGCAGAAGGGGCACTTCGGGGACGTCCGCTTCGACCCCTACGAGGTGGGGCCGGGGCCGTGCTGTCGCTGCGGCCACGGGGCTGCCCCACGGCGGGCAGCGGCCGCAGCGTCCCTCTGCCTCCGTCTGTGTCCTCCCCAGCCCGCCGTGGACTTCTTCACGCACGAGGTGATGCTGCACCCGGTCACCAACCGCCCCGCCGACAAGAGGAGCTTCATCCCCTCGCTCGTCGAGAAGGAGAAGGTGATGGACACGGCCGCGTCCTCTCCTCCCACCCCTGGGCCGTGCTGCGGGCCCCAGCGGGCCGCAGGAGCCTCCGGTTCCTCCCCGCCCCACCTCCTCCCCTGCCCCACAGGTCTCCAAGCTGGTCCATGCCATCAAGATGGGCTGGATCAAGCCTCGGAAGCCCAAGGACGAGACGCCCGCCTACTACGACCTCTGGGCGCACGAGGATCCCAACTCCATCCTGGGCCGCCACAAGATGCACGTCCCGGCCCCGAAGATGAAGCTGCCGGGGCACGAGGAGTCCTACAACCCCCCTCCCGAGTACCTGCTCAGCGAGGAGGAGGTGAGGGGGCCCCAGGAGCCGTGGGGCAGCGCGGTGATGCTGGGATGCAGGGGGGGGGGGGTTTGGGATGCGCTTTGGAAGGGCACCCAAGGGACCAGATCCGGCGGAGACCTCGCGAGGGGAGCAAAGGGTGCTCAGCCTTGAGGAGTGGGGGGAGCTCCCGGGGGGCAACAGCAGGGAACGGGGTCCAGGGTGAAGGCGCTGCCGCGGCGGGCCCCATCCTGCACCCAGAGGGAGGCGGCGCATCCCCATGGGGCTGAGGTTTGGGGCGGGGGGGCTGGAAGCAGGGCAGGGCGGCCCCGGGGGTGCCTCTGTCCCCACTGACGGGGCCCCCCCGCCCCACAGAGGCTGGCGTGGGAGCAGCAGGAGCCGGCGGAGCGGAGGCTGAGCCTCGTGCCGCAGCAGCACCGCAGCCTGCGGGCAGTGCCCGCGTTCCCCCGCTTCATCCACGAGCGCTTCGAGCGCTGCCTCGACCTCTACCTCTGCCCGCGCCAGAGGAGGATGAGGGTGAGGGGCCTGGGGGGCGAGGGGGGGGCTCCGGGATCGGCTCCAGCCCCTGGGTGCCCCAAGGGGGCAGCCACGGATCCTGGTGCCCAGCACCCAGCACCCAACCCCTGCTCCTGGTGCCCTGCACCTGCACCCAAACCCTGCTCCTGGTGCCCAGCACCCAGCACCCAACCCCTGCTCCTGGTGCCCAGCACCCAGCACCCAACCCCTGCTCCTGGTGCCCTGCACCTGCACCCAAACCCTGCTCCTGGTGCCCTGCACCTGCACCCAAACCCTGCTCCTGGTGCCCAGCACCCAGCACCCAACCCCTGCTCCTGGTGCCCTGCACCTGCACCCAAACCCTGCTCCTGGTGCCCAGCACCCAGCACCCAACCCCTGCTCCTGGTGCCCAGCACCCAGCACCCAACCCCTGCTCCTGGTGCCCAGCACCCAGCACCCAACCCCTGCTCCTGGTGCCCAGCACCTGCACCCAACCCCTGCTCCTGGTGCCCTGCACCCAACCCCTGCTCCTGGTGCCCAGCACCTGCACCCAACCCCTGCTCCTGGTGCCCAGCATCCAGCACCCAACCCCTGCTCCTGGTGCCCAGCATCCAGCACCCATCCCCTGCTCCTGGCGCCCATCACCCCTGCTCCTGGTGCCCAGCACCTCCCCTCAGCACCGGTCCCAGCCCAGCTCCTGAGCTGGGATCCGGGACGTGCCCACCCTTCCATGAGCCCTCTCCTGTGCTCCCATCCTGCTCCAAGCCCTGAGCTTGGGCTCTCGAGCCCGAGCCTGCCCGTGGCGCGCAGGGCACCCACCCCGGGGTGCTGAGCTGCGGCCTGGGTGCCTCTCCCACTCCCAGGTCAACGTGGATCCGGAGGATCTCATCCCCAAGCTGCCCAAACCCCGGGATCTGCAGCCCTTCCCCACCACCCAGGCCCTGGTGAGTGGGTGCACGGGGCTGGGGCTCGCTCCGGGGACCCATGGGTGCCCTCGCCCACGTCCTGCTCCTGCCTCCATCCCCAGGTGTACCGCGGGCACACGAGCCTGGTGCGCTGCCTCAGCATCAGCCCCAGCGGGCAGTGGCTGGTGTCGGGTAAGGATGTGACCCCCACACTGGGCCGGGTGCTCCCAGGGCTGGGGCTGCTCCAGGGCCTGAAGGGGCTGCGGGGAGCCTTGGGACAAGGGAGGCAGGGATGGGAGGAGGAGGAAGAGGGAAGAGTTGATGGGAGCTTGGGGAGTTCTTCCCCATGGCAGGGGTTGAAGGGAGAGGTTTGGGATGCTCCATCCCTGGCAGTGCCCAAGGGCAGCTTGGACACAGGGGCTCGGAGCACCCTGCTCCAGGGGAAGGGGTCCCTGGGGGGGTTCCTGCTCCGGTGCTGCCCGAGCAAGGCGCAGATCCCGGTGTGGGGCTGGCAGTGGGGCTGAGCGCAGGCGTTCAAAGTAACCCCGTGGGAGAAGCCAGGGATGGGAGCGGCTGCAGACGGGGCGGTGGAGCCAGCACGGGAGCTGCAGGGACCGCGGGATGGAGCTGCAGGATGGGGCCCGTGCCCTGGCGCCAGCCTCCCCCCACCCCGGGTTGCATCGTGTCTGGGGTGGAGGAGCTGCTGTGTGGGGCAGAGCCGTGGGGCGCGGAGCTGCTCTGCCTCAGGGCCTGGAGCTCCGTGCTCATGGAGCCGTGGGATGGGTTGGGATGAACGGAGCTTAAAGCTCCTGCAGGGAGCAGGGACCCCTTCCCCTGGAGCAGGGTGCTCCGAGCCCCTGTGTCCAAGCTGCCCTCGAGCACTGCCAGGGATGGAGCATCCCAAACCTCTCCCATGGGGAAGAACTCCCCAAGCTCCCATCAACTCTTCCCTCTTCCTCCTCCTCCCATCCCTCATCCCAACCCCTCTCCATGCTCCCTGCAGCCCCTTCATGCCCTGGAGCTGCTCTCAGCTCCCCCCTTCCCGCAGCCCCGGGGCAGGATCCCCCCCCATTGCATCGCTGCTCCCGCTCTGGGTGCCCCCAGCACACCCGGGGGGGGGGGGGTTGGTTCTGGGCTGGGTCCTGGGGTCCCCCCCCTCACCCAGCCCCCATCCATCCGTGTCCCCCCCCCCCCAACCTCCCTGCCCTGCCCCGGTGCCCCCCAGGCTCCGACGACGGCTCCGTGCGGTTCTGGGAGGTGAGCACCGCCCGCTGCGTGCGGACCCTGCCCGTCGGGGGCGTGGTGAAGAGCCTCGCATGGAACCCCAACCCCTCCATCTGCTTGGTGGCCATCGCCGTGTGAGTGTCCCCGCAGCGCCCACAGCACCCACAGCACCCACAGCACCCACAGCGCCCACAGCATCCACAGCACCCACAGCATCAACAGCATCCACAGCACCCACAGCATCAACAGCATCCACAGCACCCACAGCATCCACAGCGCCCACAGCACCCACAGCACCCACAGCATCCACAGCACCCACAGCATCAACAGCATCCACAGCACCCACAGCATCCACAGCATCCACAGCACCCACAGCATCAACAGCATCCACAGCACCCACAGCATCCACAGCGCCCACAGCACCCACAGCACCCACAGCATCCACAGCACCCACAGCATCAACAGCATCCACAGCACCCACAGCATCCACAGCATCCACAGCACCCACAGCATCAACAGCATCCACAGCACCCACAGCACCCACAGCATCCACAGCACCCACAGCATCAACAGCATCCACAGCATCCACAGCACCCACAGCATCCACAGCATCCACAGCACCCACAGCATCCACAGCATCCACAGCACCCACAGCACCCACAGCCCCCACAGCATCCACAGCACCCACAGCATCCACAGCATCAACAGCACCCACAGCTGGAGGGGGGGGGTGTTCCCTGTGCCGGAGCCTGCCCAAGGGGCACCTCCAGGCTGGTGCCGCCCCACAGCATCAATGGGGATCGCTGGGACCCTGCCTTTGGTGGCCCCATCGCCCTGGGGTGATGGCTCCGGGGCATCTGTGTGGGGGTGGCACCCGGGGACGTGGGTTTGATGCTTCTCCCACCTCAGGGGTTCCATCAGTCCCTGCCCCGGGCACTGCCCCCCATCCCCAGTGCCCCACAGGGCGTTCGGGCTATGGAAGGAGCTGACTCCTTGCAGAGCCCCACATCCCCCCCATTGCCCGTGGGGCCATCCCACGGCTTGCAGAGGGGTTTCCATCTCCTCACCCGCATCCTTCCCCCCCTCGCCCCGGCTCCGCAGGGAGCAGTCGGTGCTGCTGGTGAACCCCTGCCTGGGGGACAAGCTCCTCTATGGGGCCACGGACCAGGTCCTGGCCTCCTTCGTGCCCCCCGAGGAGGAGCGGCTCCAGCCGGTGCAGTGGGTGACGGCCAGCGCGGAGGAGCAGAGCCGAGGCGTCCGCCTGCTCGTGCAGCACGCCAAGGTGGGCGCGGGGGCACGGCGGCGGGCGGCGGGCGCTATGGGGCAGCCCCACTGAGAGCCCTGCCCCGCAGGCCGTGAAGCAGCTCACGTGGCACGGCAAAGGGGATTACTTCGCCAGCGTCGTGGCGGACAACGGCAGCATGCAGGTGCTCATCCACCAGAGCAGCAAGCGTTGGAGCCAGAGCCCCTTCCGCCGCGGCAAGGGGCTGGTGCAGTGCGTGCTCTTCCACCCCGTCCGGCCCTATTTCTTCGTGGCCACGCAGCGTTACGTCCGCGTCTACAACCTGCTCAAGCAGGAGCTCACCAAGAAGCTCATGAGCAACTGCAAGTGGGTGTCCAGCATGGCCATCCACCCCGGGGGTAGGTGCCGGGGCAGCGTGGGGTGCAGGCAGGACAATGGGGGGGGGTTCGGGTCCCTGCTAAGCCCCAGTTGCCTCGTACAGGTGACAACATCATCTGTGGCAGCTACGACAGCAAACTGGCCTGGTTCGACCTGGACCTCTCCACCAGACCCTACCAGATGCTGAGGTGAGCCCGTGGCTCCCCATTGACACCCCCCCCCCTCCCCAGCACCCTGAGGCCTCTTCCCTCTCCTTGGGGGGGATGGAGCAGGATGGAGCCCATCGGGGCGCTGCCCTGGTGCTGGTGCCTCCTGTGCTGGGCTGGGGACGGGGACCAGAGGTCAGCGGGGCTTGGAGATGTCTGGGAAGCGGCAGCATCCAGGACCCTGCACTCAACATCTAGCACCATGCACCCAGCACCCTGCAGCCAGCACCCTGCACCCAGCACCCAGCTCTCTGCACCCAGCACCCTGCACCCAGCACCCTGCACCCAGCACCCAGCTCCCAGCACCATGCACCCAGCACCCAGCACCCAGCTCCCAGCACCATGCACCCAGCACCCTGCACCCAGCACCCTGCACCCAGCACCCTGCATCCAGCACCCAGCTCCCAGCACCCTGCACCCAGCACCCTGCACCCAGCACCCTGCACTCAACACCTAGCACCATGCACCCAGCACCCTGCACCCAGCACCCTGCACCCTGCACCCAGCACCCTGCACCCAGCACCCTGCACCCTGCACCCAGCTCTCTGCACCCAGCACCTGCACCCAGCACACAGCTCCCAGCACCCAACACCCAGCACCCTGCACCCAGCACCCTGCACCCTGCACCCAGCACCCTAGACCCAGCACCCTGCACCCAGCACCCTAGACCCAGCACCCTGCATCCAGCACCCAGCACCCAGCTCCCAGCACCCTGCACCCAGCACTCTGCACCCATCACCCTGCACCCAGCTCCCAGCACCCAGCACCCAGCTCCCAGCACCCAGCTCCCAGCACCCAGCACCCAGCTTCCAGCACCCAGGGTGCAGCAGCAGCAGCAGAAACGTCGCTGTCAATGGGGAGGCTGGAGCAGAGAAGGGTCCTGAAGGGGAGAGCTGAGAGCAGCTCCAGTGCCTGAAGGGGCTGCAGGGAGCCTTGGGACAAGGGAGGCAGGGATGGGAGGAGGAGGAAGAGGGAAGAGTTGATGGGAGCTTGGGGAGTTCTTCCCCATGGCAGGGGTTGAAGGGAGAGGTTTGGGATGCTCCATCCCTGGCAGTGCTCGAGGGCAGCTTGGACACAGGGGCTCGGAGCACCCTGCTCCAGGGGAAGGGGTCCCTGCTCCCTGGAGGAGCCTCAAGGTCCCTTTGCACCCAAGCCATTCCCTGATCGAGAGCAGAGCCGGGTCCACGGGCGCAGGGGCAGATCCTCCATCCCCTGCCCTCCTTGTCCCCATGCCCTGGCCCTGCAGGCACCACAAGCGAGCCCTGCGGAGCGTGGCCTTCCACAAGCGGTACCCGCTCTTCGCCTCGGCCTCGGACGACGGCACCGTCATCGTGTGCCACGGGATGGTCTACAAGTACGTGTGGGGCTGGGGCTGGGGCTGGGCTCGGAAGCGGGGGATGAACCCCAAACCCCGCAGCCGTGGGTCAGGGGTGGCCTTGGCAGTGCTGGGGTTAGACCTGAGGAGCCTAAAGGGCTTTTCCGCCCCGGTTCGTGCTCCATCCCTGAGCATCCTCCTCCTCTTCCTCCTCCTCCTCCGCAGCGACCTCCTGCAGAACCCATTGCTGGTGCCCGTCAAGGTGCTCAAGGGCCACGCACCAACGCTGGACCTGGGGGTCCTGGACGTGCTCTTCCACCCCACACAGCCCTGGGTCTTCTCCTCCGGCGCCGACGGCACCATCCGGCTCTACACGTAGCTGCTGCCCGGCGCCAGCATCCCGGCACGGTGCCGGGATCCACAGCCCCTTCCCCATTAAATCCTTTGGGGTACATCCCTGTGCTGCTTCCTGCAGGGCTGGAATAGGGCACGTGGAGCCCCCCCCCCCCCCCCCCCGAAAACCCTTCTCAGTGCTGGTGCCTCCGGTGGTGGCCCTGCAGGTGATGGGGTGAACCCCCCAGAGCAAATAGGGTCACCCGGGGGGGGAGCAGTCCCAATGGACCCAGAGGAGGACCCCCATGTGCTGCCCTGTGGTCCCATTGGTAGTGCCAGGGCCAAGAGCTCTTGGGGGGCGCTGAGGAGGAGGAGGATGGAGCCGGGCTGTGCGCCGGGACCCCCCATAGCTCCCTCAGTGCTGCTGGTTTGTGGTGGAAGCACCCTCAGAGCGGGTGAGCTCCCAGCCCAGGGAGCAGGGATGGGAACAGGAGACAAAGACCCAGAGCGGGGGGAGATGGGGCAGCACCAGCACCACGCACATGGGGCAGGACCAGCACTGGGGCACCCCTTGGGTAGAGCCCGCACTGCCCCTTTGGGTGACCGAGCATCTTCCTCCATAGGGGATCCTGCACAGGCACATCCCACGCTGCTCCCTCCCCATAGACCCCCCCATGGCCACCTCAGGGGGCAGCAGTGGGGGGTCCCCACCGGCCCCTTCATCCCCAAAGCTTGAGGAGCAAAGAGCTTTATTTAAAAATACACTTATGTACAAGTACCTGGGGAGGGGGGGGGTCAGCCACCAACAGCACCCAGCGATGGGGACCCAGGATCAGCAGCAGCAGCGGGTTTGGGGGCTCCATCCTGAGCAGGGGTGCTGCCAACCCATGGCCCCAACAGCCCCTTCCCACCCACCGAGGACCCCCCATAACCCATCCCATTGAACAACCAATGCCCACCGTGGTCCGGGGCCGGCGGGAGCAGGGGGTGAGGATGGAGCTGCCGATGGGGCGGATGCAGCAGAGCCCTGGGGTTGGCCACGGCGAGGACCCGGCCCTGGATCCCTGCTCACAGGATCCGCACCAGGCGGCCCAGGGTCTCGGCCACCTTCACACGGACCGAGGGGACGGGGTCCTTCAGGAGCAGGTTCAGAGCTGGGAGGAGCAGAGCACAGAGAGGTTGGAGGGGGGCAGGACCCAAACCCGGCCCCAGAGGGGATCCTGCGGGACCTGAGAGCAGCCCCAGAGCCTGAAGGGGCTGCGGGGAGCCTGGAGAGGGGTTGGGATGGGATAAGAGGGAAGAGTTGATGGGAGCTTGGGGAGTTCTTCCCCATGGCAGGGGTTGAAGGGAGAGGTTTGGATGCTCCATCCCTGGCAGTGCTCGAGGGCAGCTTGGACACAGGGGCTCGGAGCACCCTGCTCCGGTGGAAGGGGTTGGAGCTGGAGCAGCTTTCAGCTCCCTTCATCCCAACCCGTCCCATGACTCCATGACCATGAATCGAACCCAGGGGTACCGGACCCTCTGCTGGCTCCATCCCCATCCCCATCACACCCCAAGGGCTGGACCCCCCCTCACCCCAGCACCCTTTACTCTGCTGCGATGCCCCCCGACGCTGGGGGCGGGGGTCCAGGGGATGTGGGGCAGGAGCTGGGGCTCCCCCGGCCCTGCCAAGGGGGTGGTGCAGACAGCACCGTCCCCACGCTCCCCTCAACCCCCAGCGCCTGGAGCGGCTCCCGGTGCTTCCCCATCGGCTCCCAGCCCCACCGGCGGCGGGGGGGGGGGGGCACCTGCAGCCAGCCCGGCCCCCTGGAGCCGGCTCAACACGGGAAGCTCTCGCAACCCAATCCGCGCTGCCGGCTCCAGGCATTACTCACCGGCGGGCGGATCGCCTTTCACTCGGAGCGCACAGAAAAGGCCCCTTTTCTTCTGGCCCGGGCTCGGCGGGCCAACGGAAAGATGGTTTTTCCTTTTTTAGTGCTTTTTAAGCCGCCTCTGGCACGCTCCGGCGCTTTCCGAGCATGACTGCATGCGATGAGGTCACCGCGACGGGGAAAAAGCCCGGAGATCCAGGAAAATCGCTTAACGCCGCTCCAAAAGGGCACCGGCGGCAAGGGGGCTGCGCGGAGCCCAGCGCGGGGAGACCGCGAGCGGCTGCGGCCACGGCAAAGGATGCCCGAGCCCTTCCTGAGCATCCAAACCTGCTGCGAACACCCCTGAGCATCCAAACCTGCTGCGAACACCCCTGAGCATCCAAACCTGCTGCGAACACCCCTGAGCATCCAAACCTGCTGCGAACACCCCTGAGCATCCAAACCTGCTGCGAACACCCCTGAGCATCCAAACCTGCTGTGAACACCCTGAGCCCTTCCTGGGCATCCAAACCTGCTGCGAACACCCCTGAGCCCTTCCTGGGCATCCAAACCTGCTGCGAACACCCCTGAGCATCCAAACCTGCTGCAAACACCCCTGAGCATCCAAACCTGCTGTGAACACCCTGAGCCCTTCCTGGGCATCCAAACCTGCTGCAAACACCCCTGAGCCCTTCCTGGGCATCCAAACCTGCTGCAAACACCCCTGAGCCCTTCCTGAGCATCCAAACCTGCTGCGAACACCCCTGAGCATCCAAACCTGCTGCAAACACCCCTGAGCCCTTCCTGGGCATCCAAACCTGCTGCGAACACCCTGAGCCCTCCCTGAGCATCCAAACCTGCTGCGAACACCCCTGAGCATCCAAACCTGCTGCGAACACCCCTGAGCCCTTCCTGGGCATCCAAACCTGCAGCAAACACCCCTGAGCCCTTCCTGGGCATCCAAACCTGCTGCGAACACCCCTGAGCCCTTCCTGAGCATCCAAACCTGCTGCGAACACCCCTGAGCCCTCCCTGAGCATCCAAACCTGCTGCGAACACCCCTGAGCATCCAAACCTGCTGCGAACACCCCTGAGCCCTTCCTGGGCATCCAAACCTGCTGCGAACACCCCTGAGCCCTTCCTGGGCATCCAAACCTGCTGCGAACACCCCTGAGCCCTCCCTGAGCATCCAAACCTGCTGCGAACACCCCTGAGCATCCAAACCTGCTGCAAACACCCCTGAGCCCTTCCTGGGCATCCAAACCTGCTGCAAACACCCCTGAGCATCCAAACCTGCTGCGAACACCCCTGAGCCCTCCCTGAGCATCCAAACCTGCTGCGAACACCCCTGAGCCCTCCCTGAGCATCCAAACCTGCTGCGAACACCCCTGAGCATCCAACCTGCTGCAAACACCCCTGAGCCCTTCCTGAGCATCCAAACCTGCTGCGAACACCCCTGAGCCCTTCCTGAGCATCCAAACCTGCTGCGAACACCCCTGAGCCCTCCCTGAGCATCCAAACCTGCTGCGAACACCCCTGAGCCTTCCTGGGCATCCAAACCTGCTGCGAACACCCCTGAGCCCTCCCTGAGCATCCAAACCTGCTGCGAACACCCCTGAGCCCTCCCTGAGCATCCAAACCTGCTGCGAACACCCCTGAGCCCTTCCTGGGCATCCAAACCTGCTGCGAACACCCCTGAGCATCCAAACCTGCAGCAAACACCCCCTGAGCCCTTCCTGGGCATCCAAACCTGCTGCGAACACCCCTGAGCATCCAAACCTGCTGCAAACACCCCCAAGCCTCAGCCACGGAGCTGATCTCATGAGGGGCCCATGCCTGGCTCTGGGGGTCCCACTGTACCCCACTGAGCCCACCCTGCAGCCCCAGCCCCTGTGCCACACGAAGGCTGTTGCAGCATCCCCGCAGCACCAGCAGCATCCCCGCAGGACCCCCCCATTGCTGCTGGTGCTGGGATCACCCATTGGCTGCTCGGGAGGTGAAGGATGCTCCCGGCGTGCCCTGGGTCACACAGGGATGCAGCCGGTGCTGCCGGGATCCCGCTGCACCTGCACATCACGGAGTCATGGAATGGGTTGGGATCAGGGGACCTTAAAGAGCATCCAGTTCGTGCCCCCTGCCATGGGCAGGGACACCATGGGACGTGGAACGTGAGGCTGTGACGGCCTTAAAGAGCTGCTGGTCCTCGGGCCCCATCCCAAAGAGCAGGAGCCCCATCCCACGGGTCTGAACCCCAGCTCTGGTGCTCGTGACTCACCCGAAATGAGCTGGTCAAGATCCACTTGCTGGCAGTGATCCTCATCCACGTGCAGCACCAGGAAGCCTGAGGAGAGAGTCCAGGGGCAGGGCTTGGTCCGGATCCCACCAAGGAGCCTCACATGGATCCATGGAAGGTTTGGGTGGGAAGGGACCTTAAAGCTCCTCCAGTTCCAGCCATGGGCAGGGACCCCTTCCCCTGGAGCAGGGTGCTCCGAGCCCCTGTGTCCAAGCTGCCCTCGAGCACTGCCAGGGATGGAGCATCCCAAACCTCTCCCTTCAACCCCTTCCATGGGGAAGAACTCCCCAAGCTCCCATCAACTCTTCCCTCTTCCTCCTCCTCCCATCCCTGCCTCCCTTGTCCCAAGGCTCCCTGCAGCCCCTTCAGGCACTGGAGCTGCTCTCAGCTCTCCCCTTCTCCCACCTCTCCAGAGCAGAGACGGGCTTGGGGTCCTTGGAGCATCTCCCAGGCTGCTCCAGGCCGCATTAAGGGCATCACCCATGCATCCCCGCGCTGCAGCCCCGGCCCTCACCCACCGATGAACATGGGCGCTGCCGCTCGGATGTCAGCCCAGGTGCTCTTGAAGTAGAAGAGGTTGGTGAGGAGCAGGCGGTTCAGCATCTCCGGGTAGCTCTGCATCTAGGGCAGGGGCAGCAGGGATGCGGCACAGCGCAGGCACGGGGCCGAGCAGGGGAAGGGGGGACACGGGAGCGCCGCACTCACCAGGTGCTTGCAGACGTTGTTGATGAACTCCCCGTAGTGCAGGCTCCTGCCCTCCTGCAGGTGGTTGCGGAACATGGCCCGCAGCCCCTCGCAGCCCATGCTGGGGCCGCACATGCGGAGGGCGAACTTGCAGGCCTGGGTGCAGAGCAGGGGATGCAGCGCGCTGCGGCGGCGGGGGGGGGGGGTCCCCGTTCGCGTCGCGCAGCGGTGCAGGGGGTACTCACGTTGACCACGTCCGGCTGCGGGTCCTGCAGGTGCAGCAGCAGCGGCACGAGGCCGTTGAGGATCTGCTCCAGGAAGAGCTCGCAGTGGCCGCGGCTGAAGCGGCTCAGGTGGCCGAAGAGGACGATGGAGGAGAGCCGGAGCTCGGGCTGCTCCTGGGCACAGGGCAGGGGGGGATCAGAGGGAAAGAGCTGCAACCGGAACGTCCTGCCCGGGACAACAGCACCCGGCACCCTGCAACCGGCATCCTGCAACCAGCACCCTGCACCCGGCACCCTGCACCCTGCACCCAGCACCCAGCACCCAGCACCCTGCACTCTGCACTCTGCACCCAGCACTCAGCACCCTGCAACCGGCACCCAGCACCCTGCACCCGGCACCCTGCACCCTGTGCTCAGCACCCTGCACTCTGCACTGTGCGCCCTGCACCCTGCACCCAGCACCCGGCACCCTGTGCTCAGCACCCTGCACTCTGCACCCTGCACCCAGCACCCTGCAATCTGCACCCTGCAATCTGCACCCTGCACTAAGCACCCAGCACCCTGCACTCTGCACCCAGCACCCTGCGCTAAGCACCCTGCACCCAGCACCCTGCACCCTGCACTCTGCACTCTGCACCCTGCACCCAGCACTCAGCACCCGGCACCCTGCACTCAGCACCCTGTACCCAGCACTCAGCACCCAGCACTCAGCACCCGGCACCCTGCACTCAGCACCCTGTACCCAGCACTCAGCACCCGGCACTCAGCACCCGGCACCCAGCACTCAGCACCCTGCACCCTGCACTCAGCACCCTGCACCAAGCACTCAGCACCCGGCACTCAGCACTCAGCACCCTGCACCCAGCACTCAGCACCCGGCACTCAGCACTCAGCACCCAGCACTCAGCACCCAGCACTCAGCACCCAGCACTCAGCACCCGGCACCCAGCACTCAGCACCCTGCACTCAGCACCCTGCACCAAGCACTCAGCACCCGGCACTCAGCACTCAGCACCCTGCACCCAGCACTCAGCACCCAGCACTCAGCACCCTGCACCCTGCACTCAGCACCCTGCACCAAGCACTCAGCACCCGGCACTCAGCACTCAGCACCCAGCTCCCAGCTCCCAGCACTCAGCACCCAGGGTGCAGCAGCAGCAGCAGAAACGCTGCTGTCAATGGGGAGGCTGGAGCAGAGAAGGCTCCTGAAGGGGAGAGCTGAGAGCAGCTCCAGTGCCTGAAGGGGCTGCAGGGAGCCTTGGGACAAGGGAGGCAGGGATGGGAGGAGGAGGAAGAGGGAAGAGTTGATGGGAGCTTGGGGAGTTCTTCCCCATGGCAGGGGTTGAAGGGAGAGGTTTGGGATGCTCCATCCCTGGCAGTGCTCGAGGGCAGCTTGGACACAGGGGCTCGGAGCACCCTGCTCCAGGGGAAGGGGTCCCTGCCCTGCCCGTGGTTGGAGCTGGAGGAGCCTGAAGCTCCCTTCCCACCCCAGCTCCATGATCCCCTGACCCAGCTCATCCGGACAGCCCGGCAGTGGCCCTGGCCCAGCCTTACGCTGTCGAAGAAGGGCCGGATCCTGATGGCGATGTGCAGCAGCATGGACTGGATGTCTCGCTCCTCCACGTGATCCAGAAGCTTGGAGAGGCTGGACATGGCCTCCAGCGCAACCAGGTTGTGGGGGTCATCCTTGTCATCCATGCCACTGACCATGGAGGCCAGCAGCTTGGCTCCGTGCTTCCTCACCTGCAAGGGCAGAGGCAGCAAGAGCGGTCCCCATGGGGGTGAAGATGCCTGGGGGGGTTTTCTCCTGCCCCACACGCGGCTCCCAGATGGAAGGAGCTGGAAGATAACTTGAACTGCGACCAGCACAGCAAAGCATCTCCAGGTGGGGACAGGCCCTGCGGTCACCGAGGGGCTGCAGAGCAGGGTGGGAGAGCCTCAACCCCATGGGCTCATTCCTACCCTCCTTGCAAAGCCACAGCCCTACCTCCAACCCACGGGCAGGGGATGGCTTTGCTTTATGGGATCCATTCGGCTATAGGAAACCTGGAGAGGGGCTTGGGGCCGTGTAAGGATGGGATCATAGAATCATAGAAGCGTTAGGGTCGGAAAGGCCCTAAGGATCATCTGGTTGCGACCCCCCTGCCGTGGGCAGGGACACCTTGCACTAAATCATCAAAATCAAGGATGCCCAAGGCATTTTCAACAGGCGTTTTCAGAGGGAACGCGCCGCAGCGCGCCCGAGACACCGCTTAAAGCCCTACAAACGGGGCCAGGGTGCTGCAATGCTTGCACTAACAAGCGAGGACATCCCAGAAGTACAGGCGCAGACAGCGTGCGCTTCAGCAGAGGCACAGAGATGAGCAATGCAAAAAGGACACTGAAAAGACCTGAAAAGGATCGGGGTTACGGTGGACTCCAGGCTGAATAAGAGCCACCAGCACACGTGCCCTGTGCATACAGAAAAGGATGAGGAGGAAGGGCTCACGCTGGAAGAGGGAAGAGTCGATGGGATCTTGGGAAGTTCTTCCCCATGAGGGCGCTGGGACATGGAAGGGGTTGAAGGGAGAGGTTTGGGATGCTCCATCCCCAGCAGTGCTCAAGGGCAGCTTGGACACAGGGGCTCCGAGCACCCTGCTCCGGTGCAAGCCCATGGCAAGGGCTGGGAATGGAGGAGCTTTGAGCTCCCTCCCAACCCAACTCAACTCAACTCAACCCAACCCAACCCAACTCAACCCAACCCAACCCAACTCAACCCAACCCAACTCAACCCAACCCAACCCAACTCAACCCAACCCAACCCAACTCAACCCAACCCAACCCATTCCATGGCTCCATGACTGGAATGCCCTGGAGCTGCAGGGAGCGGAGGCATCGCAGCTCGGCGATGCTGCTCCTGTGGGGCAGCCGCCACCGCGCTTTGGGAGCTGCCATCCCCATTGCTCCAGCTCCCCCCATCCCCAGGGGCCCCGTGCCCCCCTGTGTCCCCCCCTGATCCCCACAGGTCCCGGTCCCGCTCTCACCTTGTCCGGGGAGCCGGCGGCGACGTTGCCGAGCCCGCGCAGCACCAGCATCCGCACCAGCGTGCAGGGGTCCTTCTGCCGCCCGGCCAGCCCGTCCAGCACCGGCTCCAGCACCATCAGGTCGTTCACCACGCTGCTGCTGAGGAGCTGGAGCACAGGCGAGGGTCAGCAGGGACAGGATAGGGCCCATGGAGCAGGGATAGGGCCCATGGAGCCAGGATAGGGCCCATGGAGCCAGGATAGGGCCCATGGAGCCAGCATAGGGCCCACCCCACTGTGGGTGCTGTGGGTCCCTGGGAGCCCAGAGCCTGCCCCACACCCAGCAGTGTGGGCTTGGGCTGGGCATGCAGCACTGCCACCGGCACCCATAGCACACACAGCATCCACAGCCCCCACAGCACCCGTAGCACCCACAGCCCCCACAGCATCAACAGCACCCACAGCACCCACAGCATCAACAGCACCCACAGTACCCACAGCACCCACAGCACCCATAGCACCCACAGCACCCACAGCATCAACAGCACCCACAGCATCAACAGCACCCACAGTACCCACAGCCCCCACAGCACCCATAGCACCCACAGCATCAACAGCACCCACAGCACCCACAGCACTGCCACCGGCACCCATAGCACCCACAGCAACAACAGCACCTACAGCACCCACAGCACTGCCACTGGCACCCATAGCACCCACAGCAACAACAGCACCCACAGCACTGCCACCAGCACCCACAGCACTCACAGCATCCACAGTAATGACAGCATTGACAGCACCCACAGCACCCACAGTATCCACAGCACCCACAGCATCCGCAGCACTGGCAGCACCCAGAGCACTGACAGGAATCACAGCACTGACAGAACCCACAGCCCCCACAGCATCAACAGCACCCACAGCACCCAGAGCACTGACAGGACTCACAGCCCCCACAGTCCGCACAGCACCCAGGGACCCACAGCACCCACAGCATCAACAGCACCCACAGCACCTGCAGCACTGGCAGCACCCAAAGCACTGACAGGACTCACAGCACCCAAAGCACTGACAGGACTCACAGCACCCACAGCCCCCACAGCACCCACAGCATCAACAGCACCCACAGCACCCGCAGCACTGGCAGCACCCAGAGCACTGACAGGACTCACAGCACCCACAGCACCCACAGCACCCAGAGCACTGACAGGACTCACAGCACCCACAGCACCCGCAGCACCCGCAGCACCCAGAGCACTGACAGGACCCACAGCACCCACAGCACCCGCAGCACCTGCAGCACCCAGAGCACTGACAGGACTCACAGCACCCACAGCACCCGCAGCACCCACAGCACCCAGAGCACTGACAGGACCCACAGCACCCACAGCCCCCACGGGGCTGTCACGGAGCCCCCACCCCTATGCCCGGGGCGGTGCTGTCACCCCGGGCAGTGCCTCCTGTGCCCCCCCCTCCACGTTGGGGTCCCGAAGCCGCCACCTCCAGCCCCGTGGCTGCTCCCAGGAGGCACCCAAGGGCCCCATCACAGGAGCAAGGAGGGGGGGAGCTGGCGGGTACAGCCCCGGCCCCACAGCGGCCCCACAGCGAGCGCCGCTGCCGGCGGTGCGGGACGGGACGGGACGGGACGGGACGGGACGGGACGGGTCTGGAGCTGCGCCGCTGGCAGCGGCAGCGCCGGGGGTGCGGAGCGGGGGGGCCGCAGTCGGCCGGAAAGGGCTTGAGTCACCCCATTCCTGCGGGGGGGACGTCAGGATGCGGCCAGCGCCCGCCCAGGGACCCGGCACGGCTGAACCCGAGGCCCGGCTCCTGCGGGGAGCGCCGGGGGGAGCGCTCCCGCCCCACGGAGACAAGGCCCCCAGCGCCGGGGGGGGGCGGCAGTGCGGGGGGAACGCTTGGACTTGATCGGAAAGAGCAAACCTGGATGGTTCTGTGGATTATGGGATGGGGGGAGGGAGGGGGGGGGAGGGGGGGATGGATGGGGGGGTGGATGGGGGGACGGAGGGATGGATGGGGGGAGGGATGGAGGGATGGATGGAGGGATGGATGGATGGGGGGATGGGGGGATGGAGGGATGGAGGGATGGATGGGGGTATGGATGGGTGGGTGATGGACGGATGGAGGGGTGGATGGATAGATGGATGAATGGATGGATGGAGGGATGGGGGGATGGAGGGATGGGGGGATGGATGGGGGGATGGATGGATGGATGGAGGGATGGATGGAGGGGTGGATGGAGGGATGGATGGATGGGTGGACGGAGGGATGGATGGGTGGATGGATAGATGGATGAATGGGGGGATGGATGGGGGGATGGATGGAGGGATGTATGTATGTATGGATAGATGGATGGATGATGAATGGATGGATGATGGAGGGATGGAGGATGGATGGAGGGATGGATGGATGGACAGATGGATGATGGACAGTTGGATGGATGGATGATGGACAGTTGGATGGATGGATGATGGACAGTTGGATGGATGGATGGACAGATGGATGATGGATGGATGGATGGATGGATGGACAGATGGATGATGGACAGATGGATGATGCACAGATGGATGATGGATGTATGGATGATGGATGGACAGATGGATGATGGATGGACAGATGGATGATGGACAGATGGATGATGGACAGATGGATGATGGATGAACAGATGGATGATGGATGGACAGATGGATGATGGATGGACAGATGGATGATGGACAGATGGATGATGGACGGATGACGGATGGATGATGGATGGACAGATGGATGATGAACAGACGGATGATGGACAGTTGGATGGATGATGGATGGACAGATGGACGAGGAACACACGGATGATGGACAGATGGATGATGGACAGTTGGATGATGAACGGATGGATGATGGATGGATGGATGATGGACAGGCGGATGATGGACAGTTGGATGGATGATGGATGGATGATGGACAGTTGGATGATGGACAGATGGATGGATGATGGATGGACAGACGGATGATGGACAGACGGATGATGGACAGATGGATGATGGACAGTTGGATGATGAACGGATGGATGATGGATGGACAGATGGATGATGGACAGATGGATGATGGACAGATGGATGGATGATGGATGGACAGATGGATGATGGACAGATGGATGATGGACAGTTGGATGATGGACAGATGGATGATGGACAGTTGGATGATGGATGGATGGATGGATGATGGATGGATGGATGATGGACAGGCGGATGATGGACAGTTGGATGGATGACGGACAGATGGATGATGGACAGTTGGATGATGGACAGATGGATGGATGATGGATGGACAGACGGATGATGAACGGATGGATGATGGATGGATGGATGATGGACAGATGGATGATGGACAGATGGATGATGGACAGTTGGATGATGGACAGATGGATGGATGATGGATGGACAGACGGATGATGGACAGATGGATGATGGATGGATGGATGATGGACAGGCGGATGATGGATGGATGGATGATGGACAGGCGGATGATGGACAGTTGGATGGATGACGGATGGATGATGGATGGATGGATGATGGACAGGCGGATGATGGATGGATGGATGATGGACAGGCGGATAATGGACAGTTGGATGGATGACGGATGGATGATGGATGGATGGATGATGGACAGTTGGATGATGGACAGATGGATGATGGACAGTTGGATGATGAACGGATGGATGATGGATGGATGGATGATGGACAGGCGGATGATGGACAGTTGGATGGATGACGGATGGATGATGGATGGATGGATGATGGACAGGCGGATGATGGACAGATGGATGATGGACAGTTGGATGATGAACGGATGGATGATGGATGGATGGATGATGGACAGGCGGATGATGAACGGATGGATGATGGATGGATGGATGATGGACAGGCGGATGATGGATGGATGGATGATGGATGGATGGATGATGGACAGGCGGATGATGGATGGACAGATGGATGGATGACGGATGGACGACGGACGGACAGACGGAGAGGCCCCGCTCACCTCAGCGAGGAAGGCCGTGGTGGTGATCCTCTGGCTCTCGAAGACGCTGCTCAGCGTCGGGATGAGGTTCTTGACGATCGGGGGCAGGCGGGGGCCGGCGTGCCGGGCCATGGCGCTGGGGGGAGAGACACAGGGGGCTGCGGCACTGCGGCTACTGGTGGCCACGGCACCGGGGTCCCTCCGCCCAGGGGTCTGTGGGGCTCTGGCACCAAGCCCCGTGCCATGGGGCTGCCACAGCGAGCTCCAGCCTCCTCCCGCGCCATGGGAGGGCAGAAGCCACCGGCACGGCCGTGGGCTGCCTGCACCGCCTGCACCCTCACATCTGCACCCCCCTGCAGGCAGCACCGGCCGCTGCCACCAGCACTGAGGAGCCGGTGGCCCTGGCCTGGGATGAAGCACGGGGCAGGCTGGATCCTGGCGCGCAGCAGCAGCCCTTGGCCAGGAGGGACGGTTCCTGCTGGGGATGAGACTCTCAAGTGTTTGGGAGGCTCAATAAAGCTTTGGTCGGGAACACTGGAAAATCCCAAGCTGCTCGTCTCCTCCGCAGCCATCCAAGAGCTATTAATGGCACTGGGTGGAGGGACAGAGAGAGAGCTCCTGGCCTGAACCAGGTTTCACCATACCCAGCCATGGGCTGTGTCTGTCCCTTGGCCTCACTGCCTAATGCCATGGAAGGATGGGCAGAGGCCAGCAGCCACCCGCAGGGACCGGGGCCGCTGCGATCCCTGATGGACTGCAAAGACACTGCAGCAGCAGGGAAAGGGAAAAGGAGTTCCCAGCCAAGACCTTTCGGTGTCATCCCTTGGTTAGAAGGGAACGGGGAGCCTGAGCTCCAATGGGATGGGCAAGCAAAAGGTCTGGATGACAGGGAGAGCGTGGAGCTGCTGGAGGGAGTCCAGGGGAGGCCACGGGGCTGCTGCGAGGGCTGGAGCAGCTCTGCTCTGGAGCCAGGCTGAGAGAGCTGGGCTGGGGCAGCCTGGGGAAGAGAAGGCTCCTGAAGGGGAGAGCTGAGAGCAGCTCCAGTGCCTGAAGGGGCTGCAGGGGACCTGGAGAGAGGGGTTGGGACAAGGGAGGCAGGGATGGGAGGAGGAGGAAGAGGGAAGAACTGATGGGATCTTGGGGAGTTCTTCCCCATGGAAGAGGTTTGGGATGCTCCATCCCTGGCAGTGCTCAAGGGCAGCTTGGACACAGGGGCTCGGAGCACCCTGCTCCAGGGGAAGGGGTCCCTGCCCTGGCAGGGGTTGGAGCTGGAGGAGCTTCAAGCTCCCTTCATCCCAACCCGTTCCATCATGCCATGCCAGGGCTGAAGAGCTGCTGCACAGCCCCAGTGGGACTGGCACAGACACACCACGGGGGGACCCCGCTGCCACCCCACCGTGGGCATCAGGGCAGAACCCAGCACCAAGCCCTCAGTGATGCTGCAGACCCTGCATGGGCTCCGGTGCATCCCTCCCCGCTTCCTGTGGGTGCTCTCCCAGCCCCAGTGCTCCAATGCAGCTCCTGCCCCAGTGCCGCAGGCGATGCCGGAGCAGCAGGGCCCTCACCCAGCCAGCACGGTGATCCCATCGTGGTGCCTCTCCGGGCTCGCCATCAGCTCCCAGGCACCGGCGCTGTCCACAGCCTTGGCCACGTCCTCGCTGCCCCCACGGACCAGCATCGCCTTCAGCGCCTGCACCGCGATGCTGCGGATGGGAGGGAAGCACCGGCGTTAGGTGGGGTTGGGTTGGGGTGGGGTGGGTTGGGTTGGTTAGGAGCAGTTGGGTTAGATTAGGTTGGGTTGGGTTGGTTAGGAGCAGTTGGGTTAGATTAGGTTGGGTTGGGTTGGTTAGGATCAGTTGGGTTAGATTAGGTTGGGTTGGTTAGGAGCAGTTGGGTTAGATTAGGTTGGGTTGGTTAGGATCAGTTGGGTTAGATTAGGTTGGGTTGGGTTGGTTAGGATCACTTGGGTTAGATTAGGTTGGGTTAGGTCAGGTTAGGATCAGTTGGGTTAGATTAGGTTGGGTTGGGTTGGTTAGGATCAGTTGGGTTAGATTAGGTTGGGTTGGGTTGGTTAGGATTAGTTGGGTTAGATTAGGTTGGGTTAGGTCAGGTTAGGATCAGTTGGGTTAGATTAGGTTGGGTTGGTTAGGATCAGTTGGGTTAGATTAGGTTGGGTTGGGTTGGTTAGGAGCAGTTGGGTTAGATTAGGTTGGGTTAGGTCAGGTTAGGATCAGCTGGGTTAGATTAGGTTGGGTTGGGTTGGTTAGGATCAGTTGGGTTAGATTAGGTTGGGTTGGTTAGGATCAGTTAGGTTAGATTAGGTTTGGTTAGGTCAGGTTACGAACAGCTGGGTTAGATTAGGTTGGGTTAGGTCAGGTTAGGATCAGCTGGGTTAGATTAGGTTGGGTTGGGTTGGTTAGGATCAGTTGGGTTAGATTAGGTTGGGTTAGGTCAGGTTAGGATCAGTTGGGTTAGATTAGGTTGGGTTGGGTTGGTTAGGAGCAGTTGGGTTAGATTAGGTTGGGTTGGTTAGGATCAGTTGGGTTAGATTAGGTTGGGTTGGGTTGGTTAGGATCAGTTGGGTTAGATTAGGTTGGGTTGGGTTGGTTAGGATCAGTTGGGTTAGATTAGGTTGGGTTGGGTTGGTTAGGATCAGTTGGGTTAGATTAGGTTGGGTTGGTTAGGATCAGTTAGGTTAGATTAGGTGGGGTTGGGTTGGTTAGGATCAGTTGGGTTAGATTAGGTTGGGTTGGGTTGGTTAGGATCACTTGGGTTAGATTAGGTTGGGTTGGGTTGGTTAGGATCAGTTGGGTTAGATTAGGTTGGGTTGGTTAGGATCAGTTAGGTTAGATTAGGTTTGGTTAGGTCAGGTTACGAACAGCTGGGTTAGATTAGGTTGGGTTAGGTCAGGTTAGGATCAGTTGGGTTAGATTAGGTTGGGTTGGGTTGGTTAGGATCAGTTGGGTTAGATTAGGTTGGGTTAGGTCAGGTTAGGATCAGTTGGGTTAGATTAGGTTGGGTTGGGTTGGTTAGGAGCAGTTGGGTTAGATTAAGTTGGGTTGGTTAGGATCAGTTGGGTTAGATTAGGTTGGGTTGGGTTGGTTAGGATCAGTTGGGTTAGATTAGGTTGGGTTGGGTTGGTTAGGATCAGTTGGGTTAGATTAGGTTGGGTTGGTTAGGATCAGTTAGGTTAGATTAGGTGGGGTTGGGTTGGTTAGGAGCAGTTGGGTTAGATTAGGTTGGGTTGGGTTGGTTAGGATCAGTTGGGTTAGATTAGGTTGGGTTGGGTTGGTTAGGATCAGTTGGGTTAGATTAGGTTGGGTTGGTTAGGATCAGTTAGGTTAGATTAGGTGGGGTTGGGTTGGTTAGGATCAGTTGGGTTAGATTAGGTTGGGTTGGGTTGGTTAGGATCACTTGGGTTAGATTAGGTTGGGTTGGGTTGGTTAGGATCAGTTGGGTTAGATTAGGTTGGGTTGGGTTGGTTAGGATCAGTTAGGTTAGATTAGGTTTGGTTAGGTCAGGTTACGAACAGCTGGGTTAGATTAGGTTGGGTTGGGTTGGTTAGGATCAGTTGGGTTAGATTAGGTTGGGTTGGGTTGGTTAGGATCAGTTGGGTTAGATTAGGTTGGGTTGGTTAGGATCAGTTGGGTTAGATTAGGTGGGGTTGGGTTGGTTAGGATCAGTTGGGTTAGATTAGGTTGGGTTGGGTTGGTTAGGATCAGTTGGGTTAGATTAGGTTGGGTTGGGTTGGTTAGGATCAGTTGGGTTAGATTAGGATCAGTTGGGTTAGATTAGGTGGGGTTGGGTTGGTTAGGATCAGTTGGGTTAGATTAGGATCAGTTGGGTTAGATTAGGTTGGGTTGGGTTGGTTAGGATCAGTTGGGTTAGATTAGGATCAGTTGGGTTAGATTAGGTGGGGTTGGGTTGGTTAGGATCAGTTGGGTTAGATTAGGATCAGTTGGGTTAGATTAGGTTGGGTTGGGTTGGTTAGGATCAGTTGGGTTAGATTAGGATCAGTTGGGTTAGATTAGGTGGGGTTGGGTTGGTTAGGATCAGTTGGGTTAGATTAGGATCAGTTGGGTTAGATTAGGTTGGGTTGGGTTGGTTAGGATCAGTTGGGTTAGATTAGGATCAGTTGGGTTAGATTAGGTGGGGTTGGGTTGGTTAGGATCAGTTGGGTTAGATTAGGATCAGTTGGGTTAGATTAGGATCAGTTGGGTTAGATTAGGTTGGGTTGGGTTGGTTAGGATCAGTTGGGTTAGATCAGGTTAGGATCAGTTAGGTTAGATAAGGTTGGGTTAGGTCAGGTTAGGATCAGTTGGGCTGGGTAAGGTCAGGTCAGGTGAGGTTAGCTCAGGTCAGGTTAGGATGGGTTAGGTCAGGTCAGGTTAGGTTCGGTTAGGGGAGGTCAGATTAGCTCAGGTCAGGTTAGGATGGGTTAGGTTAGGTTAGGTCAGGTCAGGTGAGGTTAGCTCAGGTCAGGTTAGGATGGGTTAGGTCAGGTGAGGTTGGGTTAGGTTAGCTCAGGTCAGGTTAGGATGGGTTAGGTTAGATTAGGTTGGGTTAGGTTAGGTCAGGTCAGGTGAGGTTAGCTCAGGTCAGGTTAGGATGGGTTAGGTCAGGTGAGGTTGGGTTAGGTTAGCTCAGGTCAGGTTAGGATGGGTTAGGTTAGATTATGTTGGGTTACGTTAGGTCAGGTCAGGTTAGATTAGGTTGGGTTACGTTAGGTCAGGTCAGGTTAGATTAGGTTAGGTTAGATTAGGTTGGGTAAGGTTAGGTCAGGTCAGGTTAGGATAGGTTAGGTTAGATTAGGTTGGGTTAGGTTAGCTCAGGTCAGGTTAGGATAGGTTAGGTTAGATTAGGTTGGGTTAGGTTAGCTCAGGTCAGGTTAGGATGGGTTAGGTCAGGTGAGGTTGGGTTAGGTTAGGTCAGGGCAGGTTAGGATGGGTTAGGTTAGATTAGGTTGGGTTAGGTTAGGTCAGGTCAGGTTAGGATGGGTTAGGTTAGATTAGGTTGGGTTAGGTTAGGTCAGGGCAGGTTAGGATAGGTTAGATTAGGTTGGGTTAGGTTAGGTCAGGTCAGGTTAGGATGGGTTAGGTTAGATTAGGTTGGGTTAGGTTAGGTCAGGTCAGGTTAGGATGGGTTAGGTTAGATTAGGTTGGGTTAGGTTAGGTCAGGTCAGGTTAGGATGGGTTAGGTTAGATTAGGTTGGGTTAGGTTAGGTCAGGTCAGGTTAGGATAGGTTAGGTTAGATTAGGTTGGGTTAGGTTAGGTCAGGTCAGGTTAGGATAGGTTAGGTTAGATTAGGTTGGGTTAGGTTAGGTCAGGTCAGGTTAGGATGGGTTAGGTTAGATTAGGTTGGGTTAGGTTAGGTCAGGGCAGGTTAGGATGGGTTAGGTTAGATTAGGTTGGGTTAGGTTAGGTCAGGTCAGGTTAGGATGGGTTAGGTTAGATTAGGTTGGGTTAGGTTAGGTCAGGTCAGGTTAGGATAGGTTAGGTTAGATTAGGTTGGGTTAGGTTAGGTCAGGTCAGGTTAGGATGGGTTAGGTTAGATTAGGTTGGGTTACGTTAGGTCAGGTCAGGTTAGATTAGGTTGGGTTAGGTTAGGTTGGGTTAGGTTAGGTCAGGTCAGGTTAGGATAGGTTAGGTTAGGTTAGATTAGGTTGGGTTAGGTTAGGTCAGGTCAGGTTAGGATGGGTTAGGTTAGATTAGGTTGGGTTAGGTTAGGTCAGGTCAGGTTAGGATGGGTTAGGTCAGGTGAGGTTGGGTTAGGTCAGGTCAGGGCAGGTGAGGTTAGCTCAGGTCAGGTTAGGATGGGTTAGGTTAGATTAGGTTGGGTTAGGTCAGGTGAGGTTGGGTTAGGTTAGGTCAGGTCAGGTTAGGATGGGTTAGGTTAGATTAGGTTGGGTTAGGTTAGGTTGGGTTAGGTTAGGTCAGGGCAGGTTAGGATGGGTTAGGTTAGATTAGGTTGGGTTAGGTTAGGTCAGGTCAGGTTAGGATGGGTTAGGTTAGATTAGGTTGGGTTAGGTTAGGTCAGGTCAGGTCAGGTTAGCTCAGGTCAGCCTTAGGAGGCTCCTGTCCTGCCTGCAGCCCATCTGGCAGCCAGAGAGCAGCAGCAGAAGCAGGGCCTGGGCCGGGGCCAGGCGGGTGCCTGAGCCTGGGATGAGTTATGGGAGAGCTCCAGCCCGGAGCTCGGCGCTCCTTCAGCCAGGCCGGGCCGTGCGTGCTGGAAGGCATCCAGCCACCGGCCTGCAGGGAAGGCAGCCCAGACCCACTCCAACAAGGGGGGGTTGGCCTTAACGTTTTATAGGCAGGGATTATTGTGCTCCAAGCACAGAGCGACATATGGGAAACATACGTTATCCTGTCACAACAGCCCGAATGCGAGCCGGGGACACATCCCAGCCTCCCACGGAAGCGAAGGGAAAGTCTCTGCCACACACACAAAGAAAACATCGCTTAGGAAGAGGGGCTCAGCCTGGAATAAAGTCTGGTTCGGGGGGGAAGGGAGCTTAGAGCTCCTCCAGCTCCAGCCCCTGCACGGGCAGGGACCCCTTCCACCGGAGCAGGGTGCTGCAAGCTCCATCCAACGTGGCCTTGAGCACCGCCAGGGATGGGGTCCTGGGGAGCTTCTCGACCCCACTGCCCACGGACCCCACAAAGACGTTGAACAGGGCCATTCCCAACGCTGATCCCTGAGAAC